CACCCTGCAAAGCCCATCCAGAAATGTTTTTAAAAAGCAAAAAGCAGCACCTTACCTTACCAGGCAGCCCAAAGCCTCCTCCGATCTCACTCACTCTAACCATTGGGGCAAAATAGCTACAAAGAAGCAGCCTCTTTGCTACCAATGGTTAGCAATTTGAATTTCCCACCTTTTCCCCCTGCCTTTTTGTGTTTTTAACTCGAAGCTCCAGCTGCAAGTCGAAGCAAAATTTTGCGACCGGAACTGGTTGTAACTTGAAATGGTCGTAAGTCGAGGCACCACTGTACATTTTTATGTTTAAATCCTGTATCATTTGTGTTTGTTGGTAGAAAAAAGTTCAGAAATGGGCAATGTAATGATGCAGCTAAGAAAAATGGCCAATCATCCTCTCTTACATCGCCAGTATTACACAGCTGAAAAACTTAAGGTGATGTCAGAACTCATGCTCAAGGTAAGTAACTAAAATAACTCAGTAATTTTTGGTGCACTTTTAAGTCTTAGAATGCACCAAATGCCAGTTTATCTGTGTGTCCAGCGTTAGGCAAAAGTATTGGGTTAAATCCAAATTTTGGCCTAACAAGAGTAGATCTTTCAAGTAGGTGGGAACTGCTAAATCAACACCTAAGTAAGTCCTATTGATTCACTGACTGAAATCCTATTGTTTAGCTTAGCAAGTCTCAACTAGTGTGGGCACACTAAGTCAATAAGGATTTGATGAGTCAACTTCTCTGTAAGTTCCATTGATTTGGTGGGCCTACTCTAGTTGTGACTCACTACATTAAGAAACAGTTGATAGTGGATCATCCTCTCTAACTGGAACTAACAATTGGACTGATACTACTATAATTAATGCATAGAATCAAATGCAGAGAGACCAGGTTTCCTTAGAGAAAAAGTGCTGGGACTGTACACAGGTCACGAAAGCATGAAAAAAATGTGAGTAGATAAATAGGTATCCCTATGGTGGGAAAGTAATGGCATTCTGTGTCTAGTCGCACTGGCCATGTGATCATGGAAACTGTCTACGGACAAATGCTGGCTCTAAGGCTTGGAAACGGGGATGAGCACCGCCCTCTAGAGTCGGATACAACTATACAATTTGTCAAGGGAAACATTTACCTTTACCACACGTAGAATTGTGGAATAAGGCAACCTGCCTGTGGCTGCAGTAAAGTTCCATGACGGGATGGTAATGTGGACACATTGATCATTATAGCACATAGTTTACTGCAAAATCCAGGTGTCAAACCAAGGTCAAGCCTTGAACTTGTGTATTTCCTTCCCATGTGACCAAGTAGATGAGTTTGGAAGCTTCTATTTCTAGGATCCTGGAGTGAAATACCTTAATTATGATTAATGCTCCCAGATGTCATGATTATAGTGTTTTAAGGCTGAGCTTCAGGACATTTGTGTGCAACAAGGGTTGTCTTAATATTCATAATATTATGGAAATCTCCACCATCACTAATCTTGTACTGCAGTTAACAACAGTGAAACAAATCCAATTGGTTTCATGTCTGTTGTGAACAGTCCAATTATTATGTAAAGGTTTGATAATACTGTGTATGTATAACATATTTGAATGTTTTTTACACCTCCTAAATAACTTTCCATTTTGTTTCAGGAACCTACACACTGTGAAGCAAACCCTGATCTTATATTTGAAGATATGTCTGTGATGACAGATTATGAACTGCATTTGCTTTGTAGACAGTATTCAAATATCCATGACTTCAAGCTTGAGATGGATCTGATTTTGGATTCTGGAAAATTTAGAACGTTGACACGCATTTTGTCTGAATTCAAAGAAAAGGTTTGCTCTATAAATATATTTTGTACATCTTACAATGTACACATTTTACAGCAAGTGAACTGAACCCTTTTTCAAAGGGATTAGCCATGTTGGTCTGTTTAAAAAAAGTTTTTGTGGATTATAATCAACTTCATCAAACGGTATTTGATGAAGTGGATCTGATGGCAGCCCATGGAAAATTATGCCATATAAAACTAGTTCATTGTTAAGGTGCCACAAAACTGTTCTTTTCATTGAGATTAATTGTAATGTTCTGATCTCATAAGAACTGGTAGAAACCATTAGAGTGCTCAGATTGCTGCTTGTGAAAATCATTTGGAGACGTAATATGCAAAATGTTAACAAGGATTAAGAGGTCAGTGTTTGTTTTCCAAAACATTGACAAAGACATCCCTTGCAACCTCTTCTGACTCTGATTTTTATTAATTGATGTTAAAAGTCCTACCTGCTCACAGTGCAGTGGATAAGCCATTTGCCTAGGGACTTTGTCAGGAAGGTGCCTCGTGGAATGATTTTACTAAGTAAGCATACCAGTTTCCTTAGATTCAAAGCCAGCTATGTATGTACCATAAGAGGAGGACATTTATTGAAGTATTGTATTAATTTGCAGCTTAGTGCCTGAATCTTGAGATTTCTTTAAAAAATACATTAAATCAAGATATCATCCTTTGAGATTGGACAGAAATTCCACAGTGTTTTTGTCATTTATTAATGTACTTTTTTTGTTCTTTGTTTTTTTTTTTTTGGTGGGGGCTGTGGTTGTGTAGGCTATCATGTTTGGTTCTTTAAAACTAGACAGATACTTTATGCTATTTAAGACAAGATAAATTAGTTTAATCCTGTGACAGCTTCACCCACTTTCTGTGTCTATAATATTGCTTGCAATAGTATTTTACTTATGTCTTATAGATTATTACTGGCTACTGCTAGCAAGGCATGTGCAGTGTTTATCTTTTGACTTAGTGAAGCTCTGCGTAGAGACCAAAGTTCCCTCTAATTTTTTGCTAGTGTGGGGCAGGTGTGTTTCATGGGGTTCCAGCTGCAACCAGAAGCAAATGGGTGTCAATTCTTGCTCATCTGTGCAGTCACACAGCTTAGAAGAACATTGGTAGGGACTGTTTTTCAGACAGGAAAGAGAATTTTGCTGCTCTCTCTTTTTAGACTGTATTTAGTATGCATCTCGGGAAACCTTCAGCGATTCGATTCTTGGCCTTCTGATACTACTTGTTCAAGTCTCTGAGCTATACCTATAAATGACATACAGATGTAAACCAAACTTCACTTTTTCTCAACATATCCTCTTTTTGTGTGTTAGGGTGACAGAGTTGTCCTGTTTAGCCAATTTACTATGATGCTGGACATTTTAGAAGTGCTTCTGAAACATGAGCAGCATCGATATCTTAGGCTGGATGGAAAAACACAAATTGCTGACAGGTAGGTAAAACTTTAATTAGGGGACATCATTCTTAGGTCCAACTAATGTTCATTTCTGGTCTTAGTTAGATTTGATTGTATGTATGTCCTACTGATGTAGGAGGAAGTATAAACATATCAAGTAATGGCAATCTGTTTTAAAACAAAAATGTTTAAATTTCATAAGCTTTATGTTGGTAGCATTAGGAATGAAGAAAGGTATTTACCTGAAAAGGAGTTTTGTGTGCTTTAGAAATTGTTCAGAATCTCCATAATTTGAGTATATAATTTCAAAATACAAGTTTGTAAGATCACATGTAATGTATGGAACAGGAAATGAATAGATGTGAAATTGCCATAAAAGCAAAGATTAAAAAATGAGCAATATACACATAATTTGTATGTAAAGCTAGATTTTAAGTGATCAAAGAGACAACAGAAGCTTGGAGCTGGTTTTCATGCAGATATATATCATGGATTTATGTGTATGCATTAAACAGTGACTGAGTATATGAACTGGTTCTTTTGAAATGTATTGTATTCCGTAAAGGTTATATATGTCGAGTGAGATTTATGATGGTTTATCTGCACATATCCTTGATGTACAATCAACAAGTGAACATGCCTGTGTAATGTCAGCCTCTGCAATGTGACCAAATTGAAGAGGACTAGAAAACGTATATTCAGATGATTGTTTTGCTTTCTCTTTCTTTTGTAGGATACATCTGATAGATGAATTCAATTCAGATATGGGTATCTTTATCTTCTTGCTTTCAACTAAAGCAGGGGGTCTTGGGATTAATCTGACGTCAGCAAATGTGGTTATTCTTCATGACATTGACTGTAACCCTTACAATGACAAGCAGGCTGAAGACCGGTGCCACAGAGTGGGGCAGACTAGGTATGGAATTGTCTGTTTATTCTGTGAGGGCACAGTTGTGTATGGCACATATTTTATTCTGTTTACATATACTGGGTTCCTTGTAGAATTTTAAATGAGTGTATATGTAAACCAGCATAGGTGACATCACCCTGTATAAAACTTCAAATGTTTCCCTTTTTAGCTTTCTTTCGCTTTTATTAAAAAGTGGGTATAGTTCTAGGGCACATGACTTTGCACAGTGGCAGCATGAGCTGATACAGACAAGGCTTTTGATCATCTCATGTGAGTGGGATGGTGGTTGAAATATCAAAGCACAAGTGAGGCTTTCAAGGCACTAACCTTTGCAAACTGGTTAAAATGCCTTCTTCTTTGCTGACATTCCACAGTGGCTTCCACCTGATTGGAAGTATTGCCTCCCCTGGAAAAATGCGAAGTCAGTATGCAGTTTTCTGTTTGTGACATTGCATACGTATGAGCCACCACAGATATAAATGTTCTTATCATTGTAGGCGACCTGCGTATTATCTCAGATTTCAGAACAAATTTTATATTGATATGACTGATTTTTTTTCCAGAACGGTATATGTGATGAGGCAGCCACACTCTCTCTTTAAAAAAAGTGTGCTAGCACTGTGTTCTATAAAATTGTGTGGAATTTAAGTGGAAATAATATATATATTTTTAGGCTAAATCAGCAATATTGATTTTCAGAATTATAGAATAGGGGGGTTTGTGTGTCTTTCAGAGAAGTGAAAGTTATAAGGCTCATAAGTAAAGGCACTATAGAAGAATCCATGCTCAGAATAAGTCAGCAGAAACTAAAGCTAGAACAAGACATGACAGCAGCAGAAGCAGGTAAGTTTCCACAGGCCATGTTTTGACTGTCAAGTTGTAAGAGACTGTGCAGACCGATGTGAGGGTGCTGTTTACTGTTATTTTCCCTGGAGATCAATGGTGAAGAGAGGGCGAGTTTATGAGCAGGTGCAGTTAATGATATAGTTATTCAGATGCTACAAATCCATGAAACTGAATCTGTAGTTCAAGCAAAATCTATTTGAACTGATCTAGAGCCCAAAAAAGTGTGCAGTAGCACGTACGTTTCTGTACCTCTAGCATGATGGATACTGGAGACAACCATTTTGAATTTATTTACCAGATACTGTAGGTTCTTAAGACATTATTCTAAATGAAGAATTGTGGAAGAATTTAGTAAGGAAGTAGGCTTAATGGAGCAAAATAAGATGTAGCTATTTTGAATACTTTTTCAGACCGCTGAATCCATTCCCAGCTCAATAGAAGGCTGACTGCATGGTATTTCCAGAGTCTGTACTGATTACTCCTTTATTGATTTAGTCAAGAGCTGCTGATTTCACTTTGCACGAGCTGGGTGGCAGCACAGGCTGAAAATGTGGCATTTATTGTTTGTTTTCAGTTCATTTATATGCTATGCAGAAGAGTTTAAAACAACAGCAGATTATAATGCGACAAAATCACAAACATTAAATTTAGTTATATAATTCAGTTATATAATTTAGTCATATAATTAAAATGCAATTACAGTGGGGTCTTGACTTGAGAACTTAACCCGTATTGGAAGGCGGTTCTCAAGTCAAAAAGTTCTCAGGTCAAATCTGCATTTCCCATAGGAATGCATTGAAAACCATTTGATCCGTATCTGCTCTTTTCTGTCCATAGAAACTAATGGGAAGCTGCTATTCCGCCTTCGACCACTAGAGGGGGATATTTTGTTTCTTTTTTTTCTTAGGTCAAGAAAGGTTCAGGGAAGGCAGGGAAAATAAAGTCCAGGCAGTACCAGGCAGTCTGAAGACTGTCTCCCAATCCACTCTCTAAACGCTGGGAGGAGTGAGGAAGCAGACAGGCACCCTTTTCACTGGCCAACAGTTAACTGAAAGTTCAAATTTTGCACTTTCCCTGCCTCCCACGTGGTTTTTTTCAGTTCTTAACTCAAATCTAAGTATGTAAGTCAAGTCAATATTTTCCTATGAGAGCGGTTCTTAAGTCAAAATGTTCTTAACTCGAGCCGTTCTTAAGTCAAGACCCCACTGTACAATTAAAACTCTTTAAAATGCAAATCCTGTCAGCATAGCTTTGCATTGTGTAGTCTGTATTGGGTACTGGAAATATTTAATTTAAAGTAGTTAAAAGCTTCCTGTTTCTTTCTTGTAAGGTTCTGTGGCTCCCTAGGACACCCTTTGGCCCTAGGAAAGCCTGGGGATGGGGATGAGGGATAGCCTTTAATAGAAAAAAAAAGATTGTCACCAAATCCCTACCAGAGACCCCAGTCCCAGATGACAGTGGTCATCATCATCATCCTAGAACTACAGAGCTGAAGTCCAACCTCTGTCAAGGAGGCACAGTGGGGGATTGAACTCCCAGCCTCTGGCCCCATAGCCATAGACCTAAATTATTTGGATAATTTGAATTATCCAAATCCAGTAGCATATTTTTTATTATAGTGGTCATCATCATCATCATCCTAGAACTACAGAGCTGAAGTCCAACCTCTGTCAAGGAGGCACAGTGGGGGATTGAACTCCCAGCCTCTGGCCCCATAGCCATAGACCTAAATTATTTGGATAATTTGAATTATCCAAATCCAGCAGCATTTTTTTATTATTAAAGGCTCCCCATTTCCAAGCTCCCAAAGGCTTCTCCAGGGCAAAAGGGGGCCCTAGGGAGGCTCGAGACATAAAAGGAGGGGGCATAGGAAGCTTTTAAATTACTTTGACTTGAATGGTTTGGGTACCCAGTCCAGGTTACACTGGCTCCCAGTTGCATAAAGGGATTTTGCCCATTGTGTAAAATCAAGGGGCATGATTCCTTGACAACATATAAAATTGCTTGCTTTTCTAGGGATTTACACAGGTATCTCAGTTTTCATTTTAGCCTTTCTGCTCTTAAATCCCATCATCTTCTGGCCACAATCAAAAGATGCACAAGACTAGTTCTGCAGTCTCAGGCACATTTTGAGCTGGCATTTCTCAAACTGGCCATTACAGCAGCACACTGCACAGTTGACCATTTAAGCCGGTTTTCAAACCTCTTTTTGTAATGAAGTGTTGATATCTGCTGTCCAAAGATGACTTATGTTAAATCCACAAGCTCTTTGTACGTCTGTGACTGCTTTTTGAATACCAACTTCTAGCTTTGTTGGCTTTCTCAAGCCTTCATAGTGCATGCCAGGTGCATGCATTGCCGACCTCAATTATATGGCTTCCCTTACTGGATCACAGCTTGTTCAGACATGCTATTGGGCCCAGAAGAGGCAGAACAGCACCTGTTGCCCAAAACCTGAACAGTAAGACCTCTTGTAGCCTCATAGATCGTAGTTACAGTATTTCAGAATTAGATCGTAGTTACAGTATTTCATAGATCGTAGTTACAGTATTTCAGAATTTTAGCTATATGGGCCCAAGCAACTTCCGTGTTCCTGATCTTCTCTTGCAATAATGTAGCATCTTTATTAATCCAAAAATCACCATAGCAATTTTGCTATGCTAAAATGTTTGGAGGGCTGCAGAAAAATGATTCTTTGTTTCTTTCATTCTTTGAATTGCATAGCCTGTACATATGAGACTTGTGTACATTGTTCCTTACATGTCCAATTCTGATATTTTCCTTTCATTCTGCAGGTGAAGAAGGGGCCATTCCAGCAGATATAGCAACACTACTAAAAACATCATTAGGTCTCTAATAATAACATAAAGGAAAGCATTGTAGATATTTTTTTTAATTTGAGGGAAAATGTGGTGCTTCAAGGACTTTTTTTGTTATTAAATACATTTGTATGGACATTTATAACTTTTTGTAATTTCCCTGTTGTATTGCTCATGACATAGTTCCTTCCCCAAACCCCCTGACTGGTACTGAAAAACAAAATCGTAGACCTGCTACGAAAATGTAGTGCATAAAATACCACGTAAGCTATCTTACCAAGGCAGTTTTAAATGGGGACCTAGTTTTAACGGAACTGCTAATGCTTAAAATTGTTCCATATTTTTGTAATTATTTCTACCTCTAAATATATAAATATATATATATATTACCTGTCTATTTCACTGGATGTTTGATTTTTTTTACATGTGCCTTATTTGAAATGCTCATATTTGTTGTCTCCTTGCTTGTTTTTATTTGAAGTACTGTAATGTTTTGTATGAAACTGTTCACATAATAAAAACTGGACCATATCAGTTTGTATATTAGTCAATGGTGGAAGGGGAGGGGGCAACAAAAGATTAAGCCTTTTTAATTTCCTTCTTCATAAAATATTAGTAGCTTTGCATTGAGGTGTACTCAGTAGTGGTTCTTTCAGTTCTCTGGAATTCTAAGTCCATATGTCACCTGACTTCAAGTGTAGTCAAAAAACGGTAAGCAGCAAATCTGTCAGAAAACTGACTCATGAATCTTTGTTGTGTGCCATTGAATTGTCTCTGACCCTTTTAGTGAGAAATCTCAAAAATGTCCGGTTTGCAACAGCTCAGCATTTGTAAGCTCAAGGCTTTGGCTTCCTTTATGGAGTCAGTCCATCCATTTGTTTGTTTTTCTGGCAATCCACAGTATTTGTAAAGGTCGCAAGCGCCATATTTCAAACAAATCAATTTACTCATGAATTACATGGTGTTTTTTAAATTAATATTCAAAATCACTGTGTGGTTTCTTTTTTGTTTCTTTTTTCATATCAGACCATTGCACAATTTAAAATTTTGGATATATGTAAAATACAGGTAAACATAAAAACATTTAAAATGTTAAGACTATTTTTGACCAGTAGTGGACTACTTCAGTAGCATTGTCTCAGACATTTGCTAGATTTTTTTGTGCATGTGTGGGGCATGAATTGCATGCACAAAAGTACTTCATTGATTGAAGTCACAGAAAATCTGTCCTGTAACCAAGTAGCCCCATTTGACTTAATTATTAATGTCAACTGTAAAAGACTAAGTAGAATGTTAAACTCAAAGAACTTTTTAGCATTCTATAAGTCTATTAATGCTTCCAAGTTGGCAATAACAGAGTAGGATGAGTCTCCATAGAGACGCAATTTTATAACGTTTGAGAGTGCTTTAAAGGCCCTCTCTTGTATGATCAGCGAATTTCTGATTATCATAAAATTGAGAGCAGGATCTCTCTCATAAGTGAGCAAATTGCTGGTTTTGTTGTCTACCACCAGATGTCCAGTCTATTCATGGTGTCTCGATCGAACTTGGCCAGGCTTCTTCATTTCAGCACATTACAACAATGGTGAACCTATGGCACACATGCCACAGCTGGCATACACAGCCCTCTCTGTGGGCATGCGAGCCATAAATTGCCATAGAGAAATACCCACCCTCCAATCCCACATTTTGGCACTCTAGCCTGATTGGGCGGGGGGATAGGAGGACCGGTAAATATTTCTCTGTTAATACTACCCCTAGAAAAAAACAAGCATTTAGCCCTTTGAAGTGCAAGGGCAGTTGTTTTTAAATAAGTTAATTTTGTGTTGCAGTTTGGGCACTCAAGGTCAAAAATCAGCAGCATATTTGGAGAAGATTAATATTTTCTTTTGAGAAGAGAAGACTCCCTGGAAAAGACCTTAATATTAGGAAAGTGTGATGGCAAGAGGAGAAGGGGACAACAGGATGAGATGGCTGGACAGTGTCTGCGAAGCAACCAACATGAAATTGACACAACTACGGGAGGCAGTGGAAGATAGGGCCTGGCATGCTCTGGTCCTTGGGGTCACGAAGAATCGGACACAACTAAGCGACTAGACGACGAATATTTTCTTTAACCATTAGGAGGCATATGTTTAATTCAGTCAGCCTAAGATCTCCAAGAACATCTAGATCTACCTTTTGCTTCTGTTTATACTCACACTGTAGCTCATCAAAAAGATGGTGGGTTAAGAACACTGACTTCTTCATGGATTGCTGCCTTGTCGTAGGATTGAAGCAGTAAAACCAGCACACTGAGTGTACACTGATTTAAATCTGAAGCCTCCCCGACCCCAATGGAGTTACTTAAAAATCAGAAGTTATATATTTCAAGCTGTGTGAGTTGGATACCTGACTGTGGAGTCAAAGTTCTGAAGTTCAGCTCCCCAGTATGTCTCCCAGGAGAAAAGCCAACCAATATGGTCTTGGATAAGTCAGCAGTAAAACCAGCACACTGAGTGTACACTGATTTAAATCTGAAGCCTCCCCGACCCCAATGGAGTTACTTAAAAATCAGAAGTTATATATTTCAAGCTGTGTGAGTTGGATACCTGACTGTGGAGTCAAAGTTCTGAAGTTCAGCTCCCCAGTATGTCTCCCAGGAGAAAAGCCAACCAATATGGTCTTGGATAAGTCGCACAGTCACTGAGCACCCCGTGAAGAAGGGAATGGTAAACCATTTCTGCGTAACTTGCAAACCCTGAAAAGGGTTGCTATGAATCAGAATTGACATGAGAGCATATCATTAATTAGGCCTTTTAAGACTTGCATTCCCACAATTTGGACCAGTTTTAGTTTTTCAGGTATTCTTCAGAAACTTCCTCCATATAGATCATCGGTGTGTACTATCTGGAGATCATAACATTGTGAGTTTTTTTTCATCAGGTCCTTGCTGACTGGGAAAGGTTGCAGCTGGCATATCAGGCACAGCTGATAAAAGGCATTCCTAACCACAATTCCCACTTAGGAATCCAAAACAACAACAACAAAAAACAGTCTTTGTGTTTAATACAAGATACAAAATCCATATCAATTTCTACAATGCTTGTGTACATTTGGACTCGCCTTTGGGGAAAACCAATTTATTGTAAGGTTATCCAGGAATCCTGTGGGGTTAGTTCCTAGAGAACAATATGAGTTTGAAAACACTAGTTAAGAGATGTTTTCCTTATTTGTCCAATGATAATTTACAGATATACAGATTAGGCATCCTTCAGTCTTGAGAGACTATGGCAACATGCTCTGATTAGAGGACTTGGAACAGTGTCTAGTGTGGCTGAGGAGGCCAATTTGAGAGTGACAATCCCTTCCACACTGAAGACAAATACCATCTGTCCCCTGGCCATCTCCCTGATTTGGCTGGTTGCGGGACTGCCTTGTTACCTCGGCATGCTGGACAAGGGTCTCTTCAGAATGGGAGAGGCCATGATGCACCACCTGCCTCCAGGCTGAATGCTCAGATGTCAGGGTTTCCCATCTGTTGACGTCCATTCCTAAGGCCTTCAGATCCGGCTTGCAGATATCCTTGTATCGCGGCTGTTGTCTCCTTCTGGGGGCGCTTTCCCTGCACTAATTCTCCATACAGGAGATCTTTTGGAATTCAACCATCAGCCATTTTCACGACATGCCCAAGCCAATGTAGATGTTGCTATTTCAGTAATGTATACATGCTAAAAATTACAGCTCATTCTAGGACTACTTTATTTGGAACTTTGCCCTACCATATGACACATATACAGAATGTTTCTTATATATATTAAAGAGGAACTGAATGTGTGTTTTATGTTGCCTTGGGAAGAGTTTATTCTCTGCTAGACCTCAGTTCCACAAATATACAGTATATTAGGCACAACATCACTTTGCTAAAAGCTAAATGCACCCACTTCCATTCCTACTAGACAAACTGCAGCCGGTTGCAGAATGCAAATTTCTTTCAGCATTTATAGTGTAATTTCTACTTTTTACAGCATGTGCTTCACAGGCAGAAAGTCCCTGGACTCCACCCCCAGAATCTGTAAAGGAATCCTGTAGTAGGCTGTAAAAAAAACACCTGTCCCTAAAACCTTGCAGAATCACTGCCAATTAGAGTAGACGAAGATTGAGTACATGGCAGTTTCTTGTGTCCCTGTACAATAACTAGATGGAGCTGCTCAGTTCTGCCTTCCAGGTTATGCCACCTTACTTTCCTGAATGCCCTTTTCTAATTTTGGAAAGTGGGTTTGAATTTGGATGGGAGTACCAGTGTTAGATTTAATGAGTGTTAGATCTAGTGAGGTGAAATCAGACATTTGTGTATGAGGGGTCCAAGTAAATCTTAGCAATTCTGATAGATTTAATCAGTGAGCATTTGCTTCTGTGCACTGAGGTACATGTGGTTTGTACAGGATGATCTGCACATGCTCACCTGCTAGTGATGTGATTTCAGAGGCTAGGAGACAAGTGTCTAGCAAATGCTACAGGGCATTTATGATCTTCATTTCTCCCAGAAGATGGCAGCATTAGACTTGAAAGAGAAGTGAAGAAAATCGGTAAAAGAAGGCTGAATTAAGTTGGGGTAAAGGGGAAGACAATCTAATAAAACAAGAGTTAATTAGAAGTGTGTGGCCCATAACTTTAAAAAGGAGGCTGATCCATCACCATTTGTATCACTGTACTTTACATTAATAAACAGAATGCATGAAAGCTAAGCGGACAACGTGGCCAAGCTCTGTTCCATCACTGTCTGAGGTGTACAGTCTAAGAGAGAAAGGGCGTGATGTGCTACTCATTAGTGGTGCCTATGTTAACAACCATAAAGGATGTCCTTGTCCCTTTGACGCCTGCCTTGTACAGTAGAAGGCAGTTGTTGTTTAGTCGTTAAGTCGTGTCCGACTCTTCGTGCTCCCATGGACCAGAGCACACCTGTCTTTCACTGCCTCTCTGAGTTTGGTCAAATTCATGTTGGTAAGTTCAATGACACTGTCCATCCATCTTTATCTTTAGCTTTTTGTTTCTGTCCATGGGGTTTTCTTGGCAAAGATGGTGGGGTGGCTTGCCAGTTCTTGCTCTAGGTGAATCGTATTTAGTCAAAACTCTCCAATGTGAGCTGTCCGTCTTGGGTGTCCCTGCACAGCATAGCCCAGAGCTTCTCTGAATTACTCAAGCCCCTTCACCACAACAAGGCAGCAATCCGTAAAGGGGTAGAAGGCAATAGTTTAATGTTAACGATTTACATTATTGCCTCTCCTGAGGAAGGTTTTTCACATTGCTATTTCATTGTGTTCCTTGCTGTATATTATAATAATAACATGCCATCAAGTCAATTCCTGGTGATTCTTTCCAGGGTTCTCTAGGTAGAGAATACTCAGAAATGGTTCACTATTCCTTTATTTTAGGGGCATCCTGGGATTGTGCAGCTTGCCCAAGACCATACAGGCTGGCTCTTTTCCATGAAGTCACAATGAGGAACTGAACTCCCAACGTCTGGCTCCACAGCCAGATACCTAAACCAC